TCGGCCGAAAGAGATTCAAATCCTTGGCCAGTCATCTGATTGGAAAGACGACCTTTAGATATGTTTCCGCAGGACTGGTGTGCTGAGGCTGTGACGGGATGCTCGGCGGTGATATGCTTGGCCTTTTCGGTGAGCACGGCTTCCTTCGCAGCCTTCTCATCATCCTCCAGGCACTCGTCGGCATCGGTCCAGAGGACTTCGACGATCTGGTCCTGGGTGGGGGCAGCGGCAGGAACAGAGCTTCCTGGGTCGGGAACAGGGCCTGGGAGCTCAGAGGGGCGTGGAGCACCATCGGCGTCAGCCTCGAAGTACGTGGTTTGAGTCGTGGTGCACCGGCAGTATCCGCACCCGTCTGGTCGCTCATGGGGAATTCGGATTGCAAGCAACCTTCGAATCTCATCGGATGCGACTGTGATTTCCCATTGCTTTCGTAAAAGGTCCTGGGTGACTACGGTGAGTGTCCACGATGGGTGTCTCAACAAAGCGTTCTGTGGCTGTAATCAAGATGGCCGCATACGCGGTGAATATCCCATGAAATGAACTGAGCTCGTCACCTTACCTGTATTACAGGTTCCAACTCAGAGTATGAAGAAAGCGGTGATGACTACAAAGATCTGGCAGCTGGCTGGCCCATGGGCTGCGGTGATCAAACGTCATGTTGTAGTACTGCATGTCGTTGTTGAATCAGCAACTGATGTCCACATGAGTTTCGAACTCATGTTTGTCATTTTCACAAATGACTACGATGTGCTGTTTAAATTCTCATCGCAATATGTCCAGTAATGGTCGGGACTTTCATATGCAAACGCCAAAATCTCTGGCTGCCTGAAGCATGTCAGTTGCGGCGGCGGCGTGCAGCCAAAATTTCTAAAGCATTAATGATCGGAAACATGTTCATGTTCCTGCCTCGTCTGCTTTAACATACTGATCGTCGCCGTGGTCGGCCCCTCTGGTCAGCGTCGAGTGTCGCGGGTGTTTCCACGAGCGCATCATCGACTGTGTCCCCGACGGAGCTGAAAACTGCTCGCCCATGTCGCACTCTGAGGAATTGGCATCCAATTCATCAGGGAGGTCAGCATGAAGAGGCAACCTTGACTCAAATTGGCTCATTTCCGCGATCGTCGTACCATGTGTTGACCCAGATTGGCCCCGCACCGCGAAGCGGTATTCGAACCGCAACGTAGTTGCTGGCGCGGGCTAAGTCGATGACAGAGCCGAACAACTTTCCTTTCTGGAAGTTAAAGGCGTTATTGATGCCCCCCTGCGGGCATGGCGTTGAATGCTATGCAACGAGAGCGTTCGGATGTTCGTCGTTCTGGACGTTCGCACACCTTGGGCCCCTACGCCAGCAATCATCGGAAAGCTCAGCAACCAGCGGCTCGAAGTACCTCTCGTCGCAGGAATGCAAGCTGTTCCACCGTGCGAAGACACTCGTACTGTCATCGGCGGTATCCTGCCCGACTCGGTTTGATGGCAGCTCTGGTGAAGTCGCATCCTGCGCAGCGCGGGCGTCTCCACCCGCGCTGGAGCGCACGCGGACACACCGTTGGCGGCCATATGATTGCAGGCGAAGAACATCCTGGACGTCGGCGCTGGCATTTGCGGGCGCGGCTGCCTGCACCAGCTGTGCTTCTATAGGGGCAACGGAGACAGTAGGCATGGCAAAACGAGAACCGCTAGCACTGGACATTCCGGCCGCTTGGATCTGCGCGGGCGCTCACGCGCTGCGCCGCCGGCGTTACCACCAAAAGTCGCAAACGTGGAGCCCGCGGTCAACCGTCAACCTTGGTTTTTTTGAATTTGAGTCAGGGCGCGGACAGCTGTGACAGCTGAGCCCTAAGACCCCCAAACGGAGCACAGGGTAGCTAGAGAAGGCACCTCTTATCATCACACTGCCGAGCCACTGAGGCATAGGCATCGGAATAGGATGCAGGAACAAGGAAAAGGATGCAGCACAACATGTGAGAATGCAAAGGTGTTGGAACAGGTTAGAGAATGGTGTAAGAGCTGGTTGAAACGCTACTCAAAACGTGTTCCACGGCCATACAATGCCATTCAACCTTGGCTACCGCCGGGAACTCGCAGAGCTTCCTCGTGCAATGTTGGCGCGGCAATATCGCAATCCGCGCACGAGGGCGCGGTCTGATGGAGGAGGACTGGAGGGGAAGAGTGAGGAGGACGGAGATGGAGGAGGCAGAGGAAGGGGAACAGAAACGAGGAGGAAGAGCAGAAGGATGGGAAGGATCAAGAAATGCATTGTCATCTCTGAGAAATTCATAGAGTACAAATAGCTTGTTGGTTCCAACTCTGGAAGCAGACCAATGTCGGGCACCTGGATACATGAGACTAGCGCGTCCAATGATTGTCGTTCACTTGCTGTGACAACCAGCTCAGTAGCTCATCTTCAGCGCGAAGTCATTCAAGCGAACCATCACCATCTCTAAATAATTAGCAAAGTACGAATAGATTTCGAAGCTAGCTCTGGTAGCAGACCGAGTTTGGTCATCTAGATACTTCTGATTAGCGCTTCTAATGATTCCCTTCCGATGTATGCCACGAACTGCTATGTAGCTTTTCTTTAGCTCGAGTTCAGTCTAGAAAACCATCACCATCTCAAAAAAAAAGCTGAGTACGAATAGTTGTTCCGACACAGCTCTGGCAGTAGACCGAGTTCGGGCATCTAGAAACTTTAGACTTGAGCGCCTGCTGTGTCTCTTTCGGCTGCTGTGCCAAACAGCTCTGTAGCTTATATGCAGCTAGATTTCTCTCAAGAAACTCATCATCATGCCCAACAGAATACGCAGAGTACGAAGAGTTTCGCGGGCCCAGTTCTGGTAGCAGACCGAGTTGAGACATCTAGATACTTAGAACAAGCGCGCATGATAATTCTAGATGCATCAGATGTGCCTGCCAGCTCTGCAGCTCATCTGCAGCTCGAGTTAAATACAGAAAACCGACAGCACCAGCCAACAAGACACTTAACTGCCGATCCCGCCTGAGTGCTTTTTGACAATGATATGTATCCGAACGACCTGAGATTAAGATGGCGAGCGGGAATAAGATCGAAAATGTTGGGGAAAAAGGAAAAATAGAGCTCTAACGAATGTTCAAATTTCGAGATAATGAATTTAAATCAGCCAAACTGGACGCAGGCGGTAAACCGTCAACCTGGCTACCGCCAGGGACCTCGTAGAGCCCCCCCCCCGCCCCCGTCCGACGCCATCGACGCGGCCGAGATCAAACTCAACTGCGCCGTCGACCCATTCCGCGCCACAAGCATGCATCACCTGGCCAGATCGGCTGCCACGCCCAGATCAAGCCCTTCCACCACGCCCGCCCTCCTCGCCCGGCTGCACTGCCACTGCCCTATCTGCGCGAGTGCCGAGCGGGCCACGCCGACTGATCAAGCCCATCCCCTTGAATAACGACACCCCCCAATCCGGCAGACGCCAGCTGCGACATGCGCCTCGCGAGATGCCCGAACGCTGCCGCGCTGGAGCTCGGCCAAGTCATCGGTCCTTTCCGAAGCGAACACATGCACCACTTGATCGGCGCCACCGCCGCGCGAAGATCCAACCTCTCATCCACGCGCACCCCACCGCCCAACTACGGGGCCAGTCGCCCCCCCCCGCCCCAGCCAATCCGCCCCTGTGGAGCGCCAGCGGAGAGAGAGGGGGCAAGGGGCAACCCGATGACAACATCGCAGCACGACCTGCCCTATTTAGCCCGCGCCGACCACTCCCCTCGCCAACAACTGTCCGCCTTGCCCGCGCATTATCGGGTGGAACGCCGAGCGGGCCACACCAAAGGATCAAACTCATTCCTCGGCATATCCGAGCCCCCCCCCCACCACCAGGCCCCCCGGATCATCGACCCTTTGAAGCGACGCCACGCACCACTTGATCGGCGCAACCGCCACGCGAAGATCCAGCCATTCATCCACGCGCATCCCCCCTGCCCCGCCGGCGCTCCGGATGGGGGGGGGGGGGGGGCGCCGCCCACTACGGGGCCAGCCCTCCCCCCGCTCCAGCCACTCCGCCCTCGCGGAGCGCCAGCGAAGGGAAGAGGAGAGGGAGGGGAGGTGCGCACCTCGCAGCACAGCCTTGCCCGATTGCACCCGCGCCGACCACCCATGCCCTCCTCGCCAACAACTGGCCGCCCTGACCTTCACGCCGAGTGGGCCACGCCGACGGATTAAGCCCATTCCTCGGCAAATCCAAAGCCCCCCAGGCCCCTCGGAGCATCGATCTTGTCCGACGCGAAACCACCCCGTCATAACGATATCCAGCCCATCATCCACGCGCACCCCCCTCGCCTCGCTGGCGCTTCGGAGGGGGGAGGCACCGCCCCGCTACGGGGCCAGCCCCCCCTCCGCTCCAGCCACTCCGCCCTCGCGGAGAACCAGCGAAGAAGGGGGGAGGGAAGATCTGGTGCAAACATCGCAGCACGGCCTTGCCCTATTCGGCCCGAAACGACACCCCCGTCCTCCTCGCCAACATCTGCCCGCCCTGCCCGAGCCCTATCGAGTGGAACGCCAAGCGGGCCACACCGAAGTACCCAGCTCATTCCGAGGCATATTCACGCCCGACCCCACCACCAGGCCCCTCGGATCATCGATAATTTTCGAGCGACGCCATGCACCACGCCACCGCCACGCAAAGTTCCAGCCCTTTATCCACGCCCCGCCGCTGGCGCTCCGGAGGGGGGAGGCACCGCCCACTACGGGGGCCAGCCCTCCCTCCTCTGCAGCCACTCCGCCCTCGCGGAGCGCCAGCGCAGGAAAGAGGAGAGGTGGGGAGGTGCGCACCTCGCAGCACAGCCTTGCCCGATTGAGCCCGCGCCGAGCTGAGATTGAGACGGGAATAAAAACCGGATATCACGGGGAAGATATAGAGCTCTAACGAACTGTTGAATTTAGAGAACATAATTTTGAACCGAGCAAAAGTCACCAAAAAGTCAGAAGTCGGTCGAGACTTTTCTTGCCAACTAGCTCCCCAGCGCGCCGGAACTGGGAGCCGGCGGTAAACTGTCAACCAGGTTACCGCCGGGACCCTCGTAAAGCTCTTTTCCTTACGCGGCGCTGCTCGAACACATATAAAGAGCTTCATCAAGCGTTTGCTCAAAACTCGAAAAATACATTTGTTCGTTTTCATCTAAAGTCGGTTCCCCGAAGTGTCTTGATAGTAATACTGCAGCTACAGACCTGAGAATTTCACTAGCAGGCGCGGCATAACTGGCGCCGGCGGTAAACCGTCAACCTAGTCACCGCCGGGAACCTCGTAGAGCTCCTCGCACGCAATAGAGTGCTCAGAATCGGAGCAGAGAGCTTCGAAGAAGATTTTATTAAAATCTTGATTTTCGTATTTTTCGATGTCGATACGAGGTCGGTTCCCGGAAGTGAACCCATGGTAAAACGTCCTCGGGAAGCTGAGCTGTTCTGAGAACAAAGCTTATATGTGTATGCTTAGCGCAAAAATGTGGTTTCTCAAAATGAATTGTCAAATATCTTTCAAATTTTAGCAAAAGCGACCCAAAGTCGCCACATCTTCTTCTCTGGTCAGGTCGACCAACTAGCTCCACACCGCGCCGGAATTCCTCTAGCTCATCGATAACGAAGAGCTCTACGAGGTACCCACTACAGGTGCAACAAATACCGTTTCTTGAAACGAATGTTCAAATATCTCACAATGTTTGCCGAACCGGCCCAAAGTTTACACATTGTCCGTCGGGGCCGGGTCGGCCAACTAGCTGCACCCCGCGCCGGAATTCCTCTACCTCAACGATGCCGAAGACCTCTACGAGGTACTGGGAACCGGCGGTAAACCGTCAACCAGGTTACCACCGGGGCTCTCGTAGAGCTGCACGGCGCTCCTCGGAACAGGGAACCGGCGGTAAACCGTCAACCAGGTTTTTTGCGTCTTTGCTGGGACCATCTTGGCCACTCAGGCCAGGTCCAACAAGTCTCAGGCGAATCAAACGACCTGTGGGCACTGCAACAGTGCGAACACTGATGAGGCGAAACTAATACTACAGACAACCCTACAACAGTGAGAACACTGATGAGGCGAAACTAATACTACGACATGAGAGCCAGGAGACCTGGCCAAGAACTCAACATGCACACACTGAGTTATTAGAGCTCAAACAAATGCATATGCACCATGACTATGGACCGAAAGGCAACACTACCGAATCACAAGCAATAAACAAAGGCAACGAACAAACTGAAAGACTATGCACTGAATAAGGATGCACTGAATAACCACACGAGGCAATCACAATCAACACTCAAAAAGACCACGCGAGGCAATCACAATCAACAATCCAATACAATACAGCGTACACTACACAGAGAGGTAATGTATGCAGACAAAAGGCCTCGGAGGAACCACGCACGTCGAAACTCGTAGAGTTTCACTTGTCGAAACTCCTCGGGCGTCCGCAGAAGTGTATTCGGTAATCGCTGCACTTGGAAACCTCAAGAAACTTGGCAGTCTCGGCGCGGTTCATTTGTCCTGTCAAGTACCTGTGCACCTCGAAGAATCCTAGAAGATCCTCCAGCGTCGCTTGCACATTCTGGAGCATCTCATACAGCTTCCGAGCATAATCTGTTTGGGCCCTCTTTGTAGGGAACCCACGTTCTGTCACCAGCTTATCAAACAAATCCATTCCGTTCTTTAAATACTGGATCGCATTCAACTCGTTGATGCTGGCAACAGCGTCAATCCACGCTGTGACATCGGCAATGGTGGCCTGGAGCACGTCGATGTCCCCTTGACATTGTCACGATCTCTCCCTCGAGTCCTCTGGCGCGACTCCGGAGAAGCGACATGGACAGACGCATCAGAACCAGGATTCGATACCTCATTGAGCGTGACATCAGAATCTGCCTGCACGTTCGGTGTCGAAGAAAACTCCGCTCTCGAAAGCGCCTCCAACTCCTCCCGCGCCTCCTCAGTCACTTGCCCAACAACAGTTCCTGAAGCTCCTCCCTCCATCCAAGAAACACTGTCTGTCTGACAGCCGACTTCACAATGAAGGTCCACAGCATCAGTAAGAGAAATGCTGGCCTCGGAAAGTGGCGGGAAGGTACAAACACTGTCCGTCTGAGTGCTGGTGTCAACATGACTGTGCAAATCCGTCTGAGTTCTCATGTCAACATGTTTTCTCTCCTTTAGCGGTAAATGGGGGGTAGAAAAGGCCAATGCGGTTGGGGAATCCGTGACAGCGTCCACTTCCGCACCTGTGGGAGAAAGATCCATTGAAGAAACTGTTGGGGAATCTATTGAAGAATCCGTAGAAGTACACACTGCCGCACCTGTTCTCGAAAGAACCATAGAAACATATGCTGGCTGCAATGTGTCTCCAGGGACTTCGCCAAGAATTGGCAAGGGCTCCACGGGGGTGGCGAAGTACTCCAGCAGCACATCTGTCGTGTGCGACATGGGGACCAAGCTTTGCAACGAGATGGGATACCGCGTGGGAGCAACAACTTTCTGTTCCACTGCGCGTGCACGACGAGCGATCCGTGCCTGCCAACTCCGAACATGCACCATGACTATGGACCGAAGGCAACACTACCGAATCACAAGCAATAATCAAAGGCAACGAACAAACTGAATGACTACGCACTGAATAAGAACGCACTGAATGACCACTCGAGGCAATCACAATCAACAATCAAAATGACCACGCGAGGCAATCACAATCAACAATCCAATACAATCCAGCGTACAATACACAGAGAGGTACTGTATGCAGACAAAAGGCCTCGGGGGATCCCAGGATCGCCCAGGCCTCGCGGCCCTTCGTCCTGTCTCACTCCCCGAGGCAGTGGCCCGCTAGAACGTCTGGAGGTTACCCAGGCAGAGACGTTCTTGAGCCGAGACGTTCTTGAGCCAGGCACCTCGTAGAGCTCTTTTCTTGCACAGTGCTGCTCGGAACACATGCAGGAAGCATCTGAAGCGAGAGCCGAAAAACTCGAAAAATCACGGTTGTCATCCAAAGTCGGTTCCTCCAAGTGTTTTGATAGTAATATTGCAGCTACGGACCTGAGAATTGAACTGGCAGACGCGGCATAACCCAATGCAGGTGCGAAAAATCTGCTTTCTCAAAATAAATGGTCAAATATCTTCCAAATATTGGCAAAACCGACCAAAAGTTACCACTTTGTCCGCCCGGGCCGGGTCGACCAACTAGCTCCACCCCGCGCCGGAATTCCTCTAGCTCATCGATAACGAAGAGCCCTACGAAGTACATGAAGGAAGCTTCTGGGGCGAGACTCGAAAAAACTCGAAAAATCACGTTTTTAAGTTTTATCTAACGTCGGTTCCTCCAAGTGTTTTGGTAGTAATACTGCAGCTACGGACCTGAGAACTTCACTGGCAGACGCGGCACAACCCAGTACACGTGCGAAAAATCTAGTTTCTCAAAGTGAGTTGTCTAATATCTGTAAAATCTCAGCAAAACCGCCCCAAAATTATCACTTTGTCTCTTCTTGTCGGGTCGACCAGCTGGCGCCGGCGGTGAACCGTCAACCTGGTTTTTTTTGCGTCTTTGCTGGGACCGTCTTGGCCACTGAGGCCAGGTCCAACAAGTCTCAGGCGAATCAAAGCCTGTGGGAGCACAACACATAAACGCTCCGCCGCAGATAACTCAGCATCTGTCACAGACAACCCTACAACAGTGAGAACACTGAAGAGGCGAAACTAATACTACTGACTGAGGGGGTGCCAGGCGGACCTGGCAACGTCATGATCATGCAAACCAACAGCATGGATAGAATGGATAAAGGTGGAGAAGGGGCAGAAACAGCGGGGGAGAGGAAGGGACAAACAGAACAGAAGCATGTGCATTCAGTTCAAATAGTTCCATCAAGCTCTCCGCTGGTCATCAATTCAAATAATTCCATAAAGTTGTCATAAAGGTATTTCGCCTCTTTCACAAGAGCAGACGGCCGGGTCGCACTGTCCATGACCTGCTGAAGGTCCTGTAAGACGGCTCCGATTGAATCGTGATCCCTGAAGGTTTGGAACGCATCCCAAATCCAACAGTCCCGTTCGTCCTCATCGCAAGCTCGAAATTCAGAAAGGAAATCTGGCACATGCACCGTTGACACGACGTCGTCCGTACCAGTCGTCCGTACAAATCTGTATTTTCTGATACGAAGATTTAGCGCCTTCTCCAGGTACACGCGAGTGCTCTCGTTACTATCGCTATAAGCCAGGGAAAATGCATGAACAAAATCCTCCTCAGCCACCTCCTCCTGCTCCATCTTAGCAACTGCTTCACTATGAACATTCTCCTCCTCCTCGTCCTTGCAGCCAGGGTTCGCTTCCACAGCATCAGCTGAACTCCAAACCGCGGTACTCCCAACTGCAGAACTCCCAGCTGCTGAATTCCCAACTGCATCAACAACTGCATCAGCGGAACTCCGAACTGTGGAACTTCCTACTGCACTCCGAACAGTGGAACTCCCGACTGCACTGGAACTCCCAACTGCAGAAGCATCACCCTGATCAGCGCGCACTCGATGACACTCCTCCTTCTCCTCCTCGCCAACAAAGAGAACACAAAGATCAGTCTGAGTCCCACACGCAAAGTGAACACAGGGATCTGTCTGAGTCCCACAATCGGAACACTGCGAACACAATGAGTTGCCAGCCAGTTCAACAGCATCCATATCAGTCTGTGTTCCACAAGTGCCCTCAACCCACTCCTCTTCCTCAGAAACGTCCGAGCAGAAATTCCGATAATATCTGGGCGCGCAAATGCCCGCGCGAACAAGGCACGACGGATCTGGCCCCCGAGCCGTGGACCACAAACGATACCTGACACGTTTCGCCCGCAGGCGGCGCAACTTCGATTGAGAAACTTTGACACCATGCCCATACAGCTGGTCTCGCTCATGCAGGCGAGACTCACCTCCGTACGAAAGGCGAACACGGCAATATAGATCACTAACACACACTTCGACCGTAGACAAACGAGCAGACAAACAAACGAGAAACTCGGAAGTAAACAACGCCGTATCTGTCCAATCTGAAGCAACAAAATCCGCGCCTGACAATTCAAATGAAACAAACTCCATATATAAAACGTGGACTCGCTCAACAAGAAGAAGGCAAATCACAAGCAATAACTAGATGGACAATTGAGATAACCAAGGAAAATGCTGTTCCAACGATACTCCGACAATCTCAACAATAATATGCACTCCGACGACAATGGGCGTGGACAGGCCTTCGACAATCAATGAGAGTGTACGGTACTCAGGCAAAACAGACACTGAAGCACCGTGTACGGTAAAGAGAACCAAACACCAGGCACGGCACAATGCCGCTCGAGGAGGCCTCCGACGGGCCAGGTCGCCGCTGAGAGCCCGAGGAGGGACAGCAGCAACCTGGTCACCGCCGGGAACCTCGTAGAGCTCCTTCCACGCTTAACAGTGCTCAGGGTCGAAGCAGAGAGCTTCTCGGAGAATGTCTAGAAAAACGTCGAATTAACATTTTTTGGTGTCAATATGAGGTCGGTTCCTGGAAGTAAACTGGTACTAAAACTGGATCTAGAGAGCTGAGCTGCCCTGGGAACAAAATTTATATGCTAATGCTCGGCGTATAATGCTCGGCGTAAAGATCTGCTTTCTTAAAATCCGGGCGCCGGCGGTAAACCGTCAACCTTTCTTACCGCCGGGGGACTCGTAGAGCTTCCTGACCCTATATTATGTCCAAAGAATTAGCAGAGAACGAATAGTTTTTCAGCCCGAGCGCTGATAGCAGGCTGATCTCAGGCGTCTAGTGATACCCCATTGCTGTGCTGAACAGTTCTATGGCTCATCTGCAGCGTGTAGAAAATACCATTAGGGAGAAAATAGCAGAGTACGAATCCGTGTTTGGCGTCTGCGTTCACAACAGACCCAAACCAAGCGTCTAGATGCTTTGCGCCTCACGATGTCCTTCTGGTCTTTCGGCCGAAGAGCTCTCGAGCTGCTCTGCAGCTCGAGTTCATTGAAGAAATTCACCATCATTTGGAGAAAAAATTGTCGGTCGAATACGAATAGTTTTGAAAACGGACAGCACCTCTCAAGATGACTCGAACGATACGAATAGTTTTGCGGACCTAGCTCGAGTAGCAGACCGAGTTCAGACCTCTGCATGCGACAGACGAACGCGCCTGATTATTCTGCATCAGTTTCTGTGCGCATCAGCTCTGTAGCTCCCCAAAAGCTCGAGTTGAGTACAGAAAACCGACAGTGCCTGTCGAGATGACCCGAGCGATACAAATAGTTTCGCGGACCTAGCTCGGGCAGCAGACCGAGTTCAGACCTCTAGATGCAACAGACGAACGCGCCTGATGATTCTGAATCGGTTCCTGTAAGTTGCAGCTCTGTAGCTGTCCTACAGCTCGAGTTAAGTACAAAAAACCGACAACGCATGTCAAGATGACCCCAAACGGCCGATCCCGCCCGTGTGCTTTTTGGCAGTAATATCTACCCGATCGAGCTGAGATTAAGACGGCGAGCGGGAATAAGATCGAATATCACGGAAAAAATACTAGTGCTCAAACGAATTGAGAAATTTCGAAAACAAAAATTCCAATCGACCAAAAGTCACCAAAAGGTCCGTCGAGATTTTTCTTGCCAACTAGCTCTCCAGCGCCCCGGAATAATCTTAAGCTTCCAGCAACTAGCAAAGGGAACTCTACGAGTTATGAATTGTCAAATAGCTTTCAAATATTAGCAAAACCGACCAAAAGTTATCACTTTGTCTCTTCTGGTCGGGACGACCAACTGGGAGCCGGCGGTGAACCGTCAACCAGGTCACCGCCGGGAGCCTCGTAGAGCTCTTTTCTCCTGCGGCGCTGCCCGGAACACATTAAGGGAGTTTTCTTCAAGATGTCTGTGCGGAAGAGATCTCAAGCTCATCTGCAGCTCGAGCTAGGTGAAAAAATCACCATCGGTTCGCAAAAAAATCGGTTGCATACGAATAGTTTTGCGGACCTAGCTCGAGTAGCAGACTGTGTTCAGAGCTCTAGATGCTCCAGCCGAACGCCCCTGATGATTATGGATCGGTTTCTGTGCATATAAGCTCTGTAACTCTGCTACAGCTTCAGTTAAGTACTGAAGACCGACAGCGCCTGTAAAGAGAACTTAAAGGATACGAATAGTTTTGCGGACCTAGCTCGAGTAGCAGACCGAGTTCAGACCGCTGGATGCAACAGACGAACGCGCCTGATGATACTGAATCCGCTCATGTGCGTACCGGCTCTGTATCTATTCTGAATCTTGAGTTAAGTACAGGAAACCGACAGTACTTGTCAAAATAACTCAAAGAACACGAATAGTTTTACGGACCTAGCTCGAGCAGCAGACCGAGTTCAGACCTCTGGATGCAAGAAACGAACGGGCCTGATGATTCTGGATCAGTTTCTGCAAGCATCGGCGTTGTAGCTTTCCTATATCTCGAGTTAAGTACAGGAAACCGTCAACGCGTGTCAAGATGGCTCGGAACACAGTCGGTTCCTCCAAGTGTTTTGATTGTAATACTGCACCTACGGGCCTAAAAATTTCACAGGCGCAAGCGTCATAACCCACTACAGGTGCGAAAAATCTAATTTCTAGAAATGAACTGTCAAGTATCTTTCAAATCTCAGCAAAACCGACCCCAAGTCGTCACATTGTCTCTTAACGTCGGGTCTGCCAACTGGGCGCCAGCGGTAAACCGTCAACATTTCTTACCGCCGGGGGACTCGTAAAGCTTCCTGACCATATATTATGTCCAAAAAACAGAGAACGAATAGTTTTTCAGCCCGAGCTGATAGCAGATTGATCTAAAACGCTCGAATACGAATAGCTTTGTGAACCTAGCTCGGGTAGCAGACCGAGTTCAGACCTCTCGATGATGCTTCTGGATCGGTTTATGTGCGCACCAGCTCCGTAGCTCTCACACAGCCCGAGTTAATCACAGAAAATGGACAACATCTGTCAAGATGACTCGAAGAATACGAATAGTTTTGCGGACCTAGCCCGAGTAGCAAACCCAGTTCAGACCTCTGGATGCAACAGACGAGCGCGCATGGTAATTCCGAATCAGTTTCTGTGCGCATCAACTCTATAACTCTCCTACAGCCCAAATTACGTGCGAAAACCGACAGCACCTCTCAAGATGATTCGAACGATACGAATAGTTTCGCGGACCTAGCTCGAGTAGCAGACCGAGTTCAGACCTCTGAATGCAACAGACAAACGAGCCTGATGATTCATTGTCAGTTTCTGTGCGCATCAGCTCTGTAGCTCCCCTAGAGCTCGAGTTAAGTACAGAAAACCGACAGTCCCTGTCGAGATGACCCTAGCTCGAGTAGCAGACCGAGTTCAGACCTCTGCATGCGACAGGCGGACGCGCCTGATGTCTCCGAATCGGTTTCTGTGATTACCCGCCATGTAGCCCCCCCCCCCACAGCCCGAGTTAAGTACAGAAAACCGACAATACCTCTCAAGATGACTCGAATAATACGAATAGTTTCGCGGACCTAACTCGAGCAGCAGACCGAGTTCAGACATCTGGATTCAACGGACACACGCGCCTGATGATTCTGAATCGGTTTCTGTAAGTATCAGCTCTGTAGCTCTCCTATAGCTCGAGTTATGTTCGGAAAACCGTCACCGCGTGTCAAGATGACCCGAAACGGCCGACCCCGCTGGCGCGCTTTTTGGCAGTAAAAGGTACCCGATCGAGCTGAGATTAAGACGGCGAGCGGGAATAAGATCGAATATCATGGGAAAGAATACTAGAGCTCAAACGAATGGTTGAATTTGGAAAACAAAGTTTTCAACCGACCAAAAGTCACCAAGAGGTCCGTCGAGATTTTTCTTGCCAACTAGCTCTCCAGCGCCCAGGAACTGGAAGCCGGCGGTAAACCGTCAACCAGGTTACCGCCGGAAGCCTCGTAGAGCTCTTTTCTCGCACAGCGCTGCTCGGAACACGTGGGGGAAGCTTTCTTACACGCGAGCTGAAAACCCGATATTTTTTTTGTTTTCACCCAAAGAGGGTTCCGCCAAGTGTTTTGATAGTAATACTGCAGCTGCGGACCTGAGAATTTCACTGGCAGACGCGGCACAACACACTACAGGTGCGAAAAATGCCGGCTTCTGAAACGAATGTTCAAATATCGCACAATGTTCGCCCACCCGGCCCAAAGTTTGCACATTGTCCGTCGGGGCCGGGTCGGCCAACTGGGAGCCGGCGGCAAACCGTCAACCAGGTTACCGCCGGGAGCCTCGTAGAGCTCTTTCCTCGCACGGCGCTGCTCGTAACACGTGGGGGGATCTTCCTCACACGTGAGCAGAAAACTCGAAAAAATACGTTTCTTCAGTTTTTATCCAAAGACGGTTCCTTCGAGTGTTTTGATAGTAATACTGCAGCTACGGACCTGAGAATTTCACTGGCGGACGCGGCATAGGCCACTACAGGTGCGAAAAATACCGGTTCTCGAAACGAATGTTAAAATCTCTCAGAAGGTTCGCCCAACCGACCCAAAGTTCACACATTGCCCGCCCGGGCCGGGTGGGTCAACTAGCTGCACCCCGCGCCGGAATTCCTCTAACTCATCGATGCCGAAGAGCTCTACGAGGTACTGGCGCCGGCGGTGAACCGTCAACCTGTTTTTGTTTTTGCGTCTTTGCTGGGACCGTCTTGGCCAAAAAGGCCAGGTCCAACAAAGCATCAGGCGAAACAGAGCCTCTTATTTATCACGCAAGCAGTCAGCTCTTATACCACACAGCGAAGCTGTAGGAATAAAGAGAATCACATGCCCGCAATGACACAATCAAACGCAAAGCACAAAAAGACAATCAACCTGGTCACCGCCGGGAACCTCGTAGAGCTCCTTGCACTGGTAGAAGTGCTCAGAATCGAAGTAGAGTAACAAAATCAAGATTTTCATAAAATATTGACTTTAGGATTTGTTCGATGTTCATAGTAGCTTGGTTCCGGGAAGTCAACTCATGATGAAATGCATCAGGACAGCTGAGCTGCTCTCAGAATGAAGCTTATATGCAAATGCTCAGCGTAAAAATCTGTTTTCACAAAATAAATCTACGAGGTACTAGCTCCGCCAGCTCATCGGTACCGAAGAGCTCTACGAGGCACTGGGATCCGGCGGTAAACCGTCAACCAGGTAACCGCCGAGAGCCTCGTAGAGCTCTGTTCTCGCGCGGCGCTGCTCGGAGCACACGAAAAAAACTCTCTCAAGCGTGAAAACAAAAGCTCGAAGAAAAAAAAATAAAAAAAAAAAAAAAAAAAAAAAAAAAAAAAAAAAAAAAAAAAACGTTTTTTCATTTTGCATCTTCGTTTTGTGGACCTAGTTCAGACCTCTCGATGCAAAAAAAAGAACGCGCTGGATGATACTGGATTGGTTTATACGCACCAGCTCTGTAGC